TCTAAACGCCTCCCTCCTTCCTCCCCTTATGGAAAATAGACGGGGGTATGATGCGTTGTTATTAAATTCGCGTTTATTAATTTCGTTCTTTGCACGAAACGTATATAATTTTCAATATATTCGTGTTGATGGATTAATAGAAGACAGATAATATGTTGGGAAATATTTGGGGGAATGAATAAATAATAATAATAATATTGGATTGTACGATTACATTTAAATAAAATGGTATTTTAAGTAAGATGTAAAATTTCAACGAATAAAATATTTTCACTTTAACGATACGAACCACAATGTTGAATATTCTATTTTAATAATCTGGCATAAAGTAAAATTATTATATTTTGTAATAACGCAGCTCTTTGATTTAAAATCTAAGAGTTTTTATCGTGGAGATATTGAAAGAGGTTGAGATGAAGACAAGTTGTAATGGTATATAAATAACAGTTGTATTATCATTTTTAGTACATGATACATAAAGAGAGATTAGAAAATCAATATATACTCATAAATGTATTCAATAGGAATCATTACTTTCAGCAATAATATTTAAAATAAAGGAAACAAATTAAGATAAATTAAATATTTCAAGATCCGAATAAAATGGTATTTTCAATTATTATTTAAAAATTTTTTCGTATAAAATAAAATATTTCATTTTCAAAGAATTATACAAAATAAAATTATTCGGTATTCATTATATTAAAATGGTATTTTATTCAGCTCTGGTGTAGAATTAATTTTAAAAATAATAATGAATTTTCTTTCGACATTTTTTATCACTGAGAGATATTTTCTTTCTGTTTGATTGGATAACTTTGAAATGTCAACGCCTTGGAATATTAAAATAGTTCATATTTGTGAAATAAACTTTTTGTAACATATTCTTCATTTGTAGATCTCGTGAATTCAATTTTATCCGAATCTGTGGACAGATATATCTCTATTTTTTATTATTCATGTTTTTTAATCATTTTTTTCGATATTTAAATGGCTTATACAACTCGATATTATCGTCTGTAATTTTGTATTTCTGTGCAAAAAAATACAAAAATATAAAATATTGTGCTAGCATGTGAATTTCCAATCTATAGATTACGATTGTTTTATTTCAAATTATTTTCTACGTACAATTTTATCGATTTCATTTAATATTGCACGTATTCTATTATTACTTTTCATACTTTCAAAACTTCACTGAACTGTTTGGAGAGCAAAATTTCGTAAGAGATGCATGCATGAAATTTTATTAAGGATAATTACTTTTGATGTTGACAAAGATATTTTGAGAAAAATATCGACAAGAATATAATAAAAATTGATTAGATTGCGAATAAAAAATCATGAAATCATTTACTTCATTGATTTTAGAAAATTTTTCCATTAAGAAAAAAAAAGAATTCAATTCTGAATTTTAAGAATTTAATTTAAATTACTACAAATTGTTGTATTAACAAATATTATTTCAGATTTCTAGATTAATTTGGATTTCACTTTACAGAGATATTTCGTTCATCAAAATAACGTCATATAATTTAATTGCACCAAATAGAATCAAGTTAGAAAGCAAATTCGAATTCACCTCGGTATAATCGCATTGCATTTAATACATACATCCTATTAAATGGAACCGCATTTTACCAAAATCATCGATATGAATGTAACATTGTTAATCTCCAATAGAAACAGTTGTTGTTATGCGCATGCAGCATCATTTTAGCATTTCATTTGCATTTCGGAGAAACGAAATTTAAGACGAGTGCACGAGAATATTCGAAATTAATTGTCCTTCACCGCAAAATTCACCGATAAACCGAGCTTTTAATTACGTTTAAATTGTAGAAATTTCAAAAAGAAAAATTGGAACACGGTTTCAAATATTTCTCGAACAATAACCAATTGCTGATACGATTCTTTTTTTTTTTTTTTTTATAAGCTGCATAACTTCAAAGAAGAATTGCGATAAAATTCCATGAATTTATTTCCTGTTTTTATCAATACAATTTCTTCTTTTTTTTTAATACATTGCAAATAATACGATTCAAGAAAAATTATCTGTAAAAGTTTGTCTTTGTTTCCTGATTTCAATCTTCAATTGAATCATAAAATTAATATCGACTTTTTTCCAATATCTTTCTGTGTTCCATCCCAACCGATGATGTTAAATTAAATTAAATTATTAAACAATTCTTGCTTTTTATCGGATTGATATATGATCTTGGACGATCATTTCATTAAAAATATTCTTATCGACAACACCATTTGATCGACGTTAATTCCAACTTTTTTATTCGCCTACGTATTACATTTATGCCATTGTGGATAATAATTTTTCATCGATACATTAATTTCTTTGCACAAGAAATAATGAGAATAAAATATAAATGTAAAGTAAACGTCGATGATTGACGGGAATATCAACAGAATAAATATCATTGTTAAATTCAATGTGTTAATATTGATATTTAAATCATCGATGAATTTGAAATAGGGACACGTCTATAAGATTCACGTTATCATATTATTTCTATAATTATTTAAACAATTAAGGCAACGAATAAATTAATTTTCAATTAAAATCGTCACACACAGATTATAAGGTTCATACATGGAATCTCTCTTTTCAGAAAATTCGTTTGAAGGTTTATCGGCCACATCACAGGTGCAATGATTTTTTCTCTGTTACTGAAAGTTCTCTTCTTGTCCTTTCGTGCATACAACCCACACACGATAGTTATTAAAGCCATGAGAGACACCGACCGATTAATATGTCAGCATGGCTCACTGCTCCATTAGCTTTGATCACTTATTATCATCGAGATGCCGATCCTTCTTCGTGTATCTCGCGAAAATGTGTGTTTACCAAGGCGATGCTCACTCGTGTGCAAATTCTCGTGTATCGACATCTCATTGATAACGCGCATTCAACAATGGAATTGTACCGAAAACCAATTGATAAATCTATCCTCTTCTATTTCTTTTTGGTGTTTCTTATGCAGTTCCTGCTCTACTTTCTTTTTTCTTTTTTTTTTTTTTCGTGGAAACTTTAGAGATGAATTCAATTGATGAAAAGAATGCATATTTCATTTTTTCCAAATATTAATTTGTTGCAGTAACATAATTTCTATTCTAAACATAATTTCCTTCTATTTTTATTCCAGGCATAGAAAATTTAAATTATCAAAAAATTATTCGAGAAATCAGAAATTGAATATTGACACAACAGTTTATACCTTATAAATTCTTTTAATTCTCCAAACTTTTGACTTTATTCTATAATTTTAAATGTTTTGTTGCGTATAATCAATAGTAAATTTCAATTTCAAGATAATACCGTATTTCAGCGTCGTAATGTGACTAAAAATGTATAAAAAGCCGTGACTAGAACTATAAATAACGTTGTTCTTCGAAAGACCAAAAATATTACTTCAACTAAAATATTATTTTTAAGCCAGTCCATACCGATTAACAATTGATACTCCATAACGTAACAATGGAATACACTTGTGATTTATAGACACTGAATATGGTGAGCCGCAAGCAGATCAATAAATTGCGAGTAAATAACAGTTGGTTTACACACTTTGTACCCAATTTTTTATCGTTTCATTCAAGGATAAAAAAAAATATATGGACGAATGAATAGAATATTACGAGTTCGTGTAAACTGTGTTCGCTATGAATTATTGCTATCGTTTCAAGCAACCATTTTTCTTTTTATTTCTATTTCAGTAGTAATTATAGTTTATAAAATTGAAATGAATAGAATTTTACAAAACTGATAGCAAAATCAGATCAACTACGTTCTTAAATATATTCTATCATTCTATTATTATAACTAAAAGAATTATAAACAATACTTGACTCAAATATTTAATTTGTCTTTCAGTGAAAAAATTATAGTTTTTTTCTTTTCATTTTAAAGTGTATAATAAAGTTTGAAAATCTTAAAAAATATAAAAGCACGTGACGACTCATAGAAAATTAATTGTAGCAAAGTTGAAAGCTTCGCTTAATATTTTTTTCAAGTGTGTCGACTAGGATTATATTTACCTTTCAATAAAAATAATTATAATGGACAATCAAAAAATTCGTTAAATTCGTATAATTGTTTTACATTCCCTTTTCTTTTTAATTCCAACTATTGATCAATATATTTAAAAATCTATACAAATGAATATCTTTTACAATCTTCAACTAATATAATAATTCTTACATCAGAATCTACTACGATAATGATAATATTGATAACATTTATTAATTAATGATTTATCCTATTCATGTCCAAAGAGAAATACAATATATTACAATCTAAAAGAATTACCCTAACAATATATATATATATATATTAAAAATATTATTTACACGATAACTTAATCGGAATTACAAGATTTCAATATTTAAAATCAAAAGAGCACATTAAACAAACAAATATTATTATTCATCGAGCTAAAATTATTCGATAATCAAATAATTTTATCAATTATGGAAACGATCGAAATTCAATTCTCGATGCTGCAAAAGTTCGAACATTATTTTCTTCCCCCGGCATAATCGGTGACAAAAATGGCCGAAGCGCAAGTACAGAATATCGGCTCGTGGCCTGAGCGCCAAGGGTCGTTTTTAGCATCAAAGAACCGCTGCTGACCTTGAACAATTTACGTATACCGGGCATCCACCGACGAGGAGGTTAAAATCGTTATCGGGTCGCTTTGAAATTGTCCTATAAATTGCGGCTATTACTCAATACCTCGCGTGAAAATATTCAAAGAAGTTGTAGGAGGTGAAGAAGTTTTGTGGCTCGTGTCAATGCGAGGCGATCGTCACGATATCAAAGAGAATCCTCCTCCGGATAAATATAGAGCTGGCTCACGCTATTTGCCCATACAACGTCAACGAATGAGAATTTATGGCATCCCTCAGGACACAGAGGATCGTTCGCCTTCCGTTTTCTTTCGTGTGATGGAGAATACGTGGTTCATAGGTGCGGGAATGATGAACTATTGTTGCTCCATGCGATGGATTTTAAGTGTTTCCTAGCGTGAGATAATATTGTGACATTATGAAATATCTAGGTGGAATAGTTTCAGGTATGATAAACATGGAAGAGATTTAGAGACCTGGTGTAAATATAACTCTATAAACTATCCGTGGAATTAAGTTCTAAAAATGGGAAATGTACTTCTTTAGATGTTGCGCTTGTTAACCTAATTACTGTTAATTTGAGAAAAATTGTTTTAGAAATCGCTTCTAGGATCGAAATCATGGAAAATTGTTTTTTTTTTTTTTTTTTTTTTTTAAGAATCAATGACATTTGAATGTTTAATTAATAGATTGGAAAAATATGCAAATTCGTAGTATCTATGAATATTATTAACGAGATGAAAATTAAAATATAACGATTTGTTTCGTTTACAATGAAAATTGTATTTTTTACGCGTTATTAAATTTTCCATAAACGAATATATTCGTAGTATGATAATGATGGTACTCGAAAAATTTTGAAAATTAATTACGCGAGATGAGATAGGGAAAGGTTATTTTTTTTCAGGTAGGGGAATTAAAAACGATCAATGAGGAACAAAGTACTAATCCCAGGTGTAAAAAGAGACTATAGAAACTGCAACCGACTAATTAACTGTGAAAATGGTCGGCGAAGAGTCTAAAATTAGCGATCAGTTCCAACAACTATCGATCCTCCATTCGTTTTACGTTCTTCCTTCCATTTTCGAGCGGAAATTGTATTCTCTTGTTTAAACAGATACGATATTTTTTACATCCGTTTAAAAGTTTCCTCATTTTATTTGAACGTCATCAGATAAGACAGATAAGGAATAAAAAATAAAACTAACTTCATAAAAATTTCGATATAAAGATTTTAAAGATATCAAAAATTAAAACGAATAAAAGTTTTTGCGGGCACTTTTCAAAAATTGATGAAAAATAAAAAAAAAAAGAATAAACATTCACAGAAATTGAAAACCTATTCGATCGATCACAACGGAGAAAAATAAAAATTTTACGGGTAGATTGATGAAACACGCGTCGATAAAAAGCGAATTAAAAAAGAAAAAAAGGAAGACTATCAAAACTATCGTCGACTTATCCGTAATTACCGACTCATCCGCAAAATACATCGACGATCCGCAAAGTAAATGGAGATACCCGTGGTGAGGAGAATTAAGCTCATCATCCCCTCGAAGTATCCGTGTGCGAAGCGTGCATGCACGTTACAATATTAAAGAAAATCCGATTGACTATCGAGATATCGAATAGAAGGGGACCTGCTGCGAAAGAAAATTTAAAACCTGCTGGCTAACAAAGTTTCAATTTTACGACAAGGGCTGGATAACATCGATCGTCCTCGATAAGCATCCGATCGCAAACGCCAATTTTGTTCGACGCTTGTTTTCAATAGCCGCGAGGAACTTCCACTTCCGAACTAGTAATTGTAATTTCCCTAGCTTCCGGCTCACTTCCTCGAACGAGGTTACCCGCGGATAGCCATCTTTCGCCGAATTTTCGAAGTAAGAAACGCATCTGTATTCCGATTATAACGATTTTGACGTTCTTTTTTCCAATTCCAATTGAAAACTACTTTTCTTCAGAGAAAGACGTTTGACCCCAATATTTGTATCTATATTCTACAAAATTAAAAAAAATCGATATTTCAATTAGCTGATGCAAAATATTTTAATAAATTGTATCATCGTTAATCATTTTATGATAAGATTCAGAAGATGCAAATACTCGTAGCCGATGAAAAAATTCTTTATAACCACGAATTTGTCTGATTTGAAGAAGAGAAAAACGGAGGTAAAACAAATGTAATATTGCTCCAATTTCCATGGAAATTATCGAGCAAACGATCGAGCAAGCAACGAGAAATCCACCGAAATCCCGTGTCGAAATTGGCCGTAACGACGTAAAACGAGCACGCGCGTGCATACGAAAACGAGGCATCAACGTGCTCGTTGAACAAGAGTGCAACAAGCCTCGCTCGACCGATTGAATTCAACTGGGATCGGTTAATTTGCAAGATATGCGACTCGGCGTTGCCCCGTAGCAGGTGTAGATACCTGTCATGAAAGGGAAATTAAGGTTCATCGTGCCAACAAAGTGTCAATCTTACGATGGCCTGAGCCGGCCCACACACGCACGCGGTGTTACAAGCAGCGGTGAAATACAAATACCGTGTACGCCGATGGTCAATGCCACGCAACAACGTATATACACGGTTCACGTGGGCAGAGACTAATGGTGGCCCATAAGCGGGGATCACCGAACGGAGCAACAGCCCGAGTCAACGTATCTCAGCTCGGTAATCTCGATGCCAAATGCCGTACACGCTTCGCTGCCACGTGATTAATGCCCCCTATTGAAGCTAGGACGATGCTCTGCGCCTTTGAATCCCGAACTTGGATACTTTTCCTCCTAGACCCGTTCCTTGTTATCGAGATATTTAAAGAAATATCTCGAGTATACCTGGTCTATCAATTATGAATAATTGTCAATCGATTTATGATCGATCGTGTTGATTTCGAGGAAAGTTTTGGAATTTGTATTCTAGGGAATATTTGTTAGGATTGGAAGATGAACAAGATTTTTCTCATTTTGCACGATTAAAAAGTGTAAAGGTTCTTTTGTTCAGATCAATAGGATTAATAGGGTTCTCGTTCAATCTGAAAATTATTATAAAATAAATAGTCCATAAAAAGATTTGTAAAAACGCTCGAAATTCATCTCCAAGTTTTTTTTTTTTCAATAATCAATCAAGTAGAATCGAAATATTTTGATTATTACATCTAAAAGACGAGTGGAAGTGTACTTACCGGCACCTTCCCATTCGCTTTCTCCGTGTCGTTGTTCTCCAACAAGGGTGCACTGCTGCTCTTCCCACCCATTTCCACGCTGAGCGGTTCCGGTTTCAATTGGAGGCTGGCAGCGGAAGGGGATGAGGGTGCTCGAGGTGGTGTCTCCAACAATTCTCCAGAGCTTAGGGAGCTGCTCGCGGTGGTGGACAGGCCTATATCACAGAGATATTGAACGAATTGTAATCGAATCACGTATTAACGCAATATCCTTTTCAATATAAATCCTCACAGTTTACGATCACAATCAAAAGACACAATAATTTTCACGAGCTTATTAAAAGAACTCCCTCTCCTATCTCTCTGTTCCGCAACAACGCACACATTTCTATATATTTCCACTTGCATCCTCGAGAGTAACGCCAATTATCATCTGGAAACCTTCTCTCCCAACTCGAAGTATTTTCCCACTTTCTCTTCTCCATGGGTCATTTAATTGCTTCGCAAATGCGAGCGAGACAAAAGTGTGGTTGTTCGAATATTGCATCCCTCGAGAGAGAGAGAGAGAGAGGAAAGAAAAAAGAAAAGAAAAAAGGAACAACGATCGGCATTCGAGCCGTGCAATTTGCATGTCCCTCGCACACGCACGACCGACACCTGTCCACGCGTCGTTAATGAAACTCACACAGAGGCAGATTGGTCGGTCGAGGCGGTTTGATCCTCGGCAGGGTGTCGTCGAGGCCGCTGCTGCTGTCCACCGCGTCCTGGGAATATTGGTCGTCGTTCTCCTTCGTCTGGGTGTGCACGCTCTCGCGTTTGATCCACACGTCCTGCGAGTGTTTGTCGTTCCGCGAGTTTAACTTGGAAGGACGTCGCCGGATCCTCTCCCAGGTCTCTTTCCGGTGACACTTGGCGGAGGACGGGGCTGCGAGAGGAGAATACGTCTCTTTGATGATGGCAATGATGATGGCTCGAGTGGTGAGAATTGAAGGATCGTATTGATAATGGATCGAAGTACGATGAAATGGGAAATTTTTATTTTTCATTTGGGATGTCAGTTTTCGGTTATCTCAGTGTGTTAAATAATTGTTGGGAAAAATTGATTATTGAATTGAGTTAATAATAAATTGTATTATTTTATTTAGAATTTTAACGAATTCTGTTCCTTTGCTTTCCTTGTTTGATTGTTCGTTGTCGTGTAAACTTGTTTGTTGTTTGTTAATTATATTAATTAACATTTGGAATGTCTGAATAAATAATGTAATAGTGTAAAGGATAAATGTAATATTATTCTTTATTTTATATTTATTTGTGACGTGTAACTAATACTCTCTCATTTTTGTTTATTAATTTGTTGTTGATCGAATTGCATTCTTGCCATAAACAATAACAATTCGCACTAAGCATCCAATCTAAAGTTACGAGGCCAAACACCACTATTTGAATATTAAAATTAATCGAGAGTTAATCGTCAATTATCAAAGAGGTAAACGAAAAATAGTCCAAATACCTTATAAGGAAAAATCTACTGTTCAAAATATTAAAAAAAAAAAAAAATAACACATTAAATTAAAACAACGTATCAACGATATTGTTAATTTAACTATATTAAAGATTTGTAAATAGATAGGATTACTTTGTGAAACGAGAACGAAATTCAAATGATTTCAAACAATGAGTGAACACACTCCTACTTTTAATTTTTTAATTAACGATTCATGCATTGTTTCCTGAAATTCACCCCCACCACGAGAACATATCAAATTGCACGGTTATGTACAAGTTAATAAAAAAACGTCTTCGAGGGAGACCACTGCAAGGCTCGAGATAATTCTGAGGAATGATAATCGACTTACGCTTAACTATCCGTCGATCGGTGCTTCTAGGAGGACTGGCGGTGCCGATGCCGCTCTCCAGAGGAGATGCTCTGTCGGTCGTATCCGGCGACATACTTCCGGAGGAAATCTCGTCCATGCTCTGAAGAAGATCTTGAGACGACGAGGACGATCTATTGTCGTCGTCCACGGTGTCTTGGGGCGAGGCAGGATCCAACGTGCTCTCGTCCTGCAGCGACTGAGAATCCATCTGTGATTCCGCTGTGAACATTTGTATTAAGATTTGCAGACGAGAGAGAATAATCTCGCCTTGCGCTTCGAAATTCTTCGTAGATTTATGATAAAAATGAATCTTTTTAGCGATACGATGTTGGGATGCAAAAATAATTTGACGAATAGAAATCTGTTTTTCCGAATCTCTATTAAATATAAATAATATAAATAGCCTTTTCTTCTTTCATAGTAATAAAAGCAAAACTTTATTTGAAATTGACACGTTCACGTATTAATATTAGCAACGTATTTAACTATTGAAACGTAAAATATTTAATAAATTAGAAAACGAAAGTATTTTGTAGAATTGGCGAATGATTGTAATATAGAATCATTGGTATTGTAAAATTTGATAATTAAAAAAGTATATATAGAATCCTTAATTATTTTCTTCAAAATACAAAATACTTCGTCTAAGAAAAAGTTCCATTCCACTCTATTCCCCATTACTTTAAATAACGAAGTCCCCGCTATATTAAAAAACTTCTTACCAATTAAATGAACTTTCATAAATTCCCTCGTTAACTCCTATTTCATAAAATATAAATCATAACGAACGGGATCGTTTAATTTTCGTTACACGAAAAATGTTTGCCCGTAACGAGAGATAAAACTTATGATCATCGAGTTTCATTAAATTGACAATTAGTCGAAACGAGGGCAGAGTTACCTTCGAGTTCAAATAACGATTCGAGAAGAGGAAGAACGGTTGAACAGACGTTGAGAGAGTTACCTCGCGGGGAGTCGCAATCACTGACCCATGTGAAGCTGAAACTTCTGGAAATAGCTGGGGAAGTTTGCGTCGCTATGTCGGAACAAGTGAGCGAATCCATTGGCGGGCTGTTCGGGCAGCACGAGCCGGACCCGTTTCGGATCTTCGATAACAGGGATTGAAGAGAAATCGGTAGCTGAAAGTATATTTCGCCTCGTTATTATCGTGGAACAGTTCGAGAAACATATCTAATTATGACCTTTATAGAAATATAGAACTTCTTTGAAACAGCTTTCAGCTTTTTTTAGATATTTTTCTAGATAATTTCCCTTCCTGTCGGGAAATCTGTTTATTCGATTAAAATTATTGAGCACAAATTATGTTTGAAATTAACAGTGTTGTGGAATCTATTTTCATACATGCGAATTAATTCTTTGACAACGATTCACGTAGAAATTTCGTTCCATTTATTCTTGTAAAGCTACGAAGATGATTAATATTTTATTAATCCTTGAATTAGATCGTTAGCATCGTTAGCATACAATTCTTCTTCGTTTTATTTTATCATTTATCAACACATTTAATTGATATCCTAACATAAATATATAATTATTAACAATTAATTATTAAAATTTGCAATTAAATTCCTTGTTGAAATTAATCTTAATTTATCGATCGATACATCTCGATGGAACAAAATTTAAGAGTATTTTATAAAATGAAAGAAATCCTCAAAGTTAAGGGAAAAAATAGACCTGACATTGTAGCTTCGCAACGATATTCTCTCTCTCTCTCGAAAAAAAAAAGAGGACTCGTGAATACTCACCGAACCGGATCTGGAATTCTGCTCGTCCAATATCTTCTTCACGTCCACGTTCTCCACCCGTTCGAACTTGCCGCTGTCCACGCTCCCGATGGATCCAACGTTGTCGTCTTCCGGGAGATCGCAACTCACGCCCACGTCGTTACCCCTCGATCTCGAGAGCGAGAACTTCTTCAAATCCACGGGACTCACCTGCCTCACGTCCTTGTCCGACTCGGACAACCGTTTCGCGGATATATCCGAGCGCAGGGTGAGAGGCGACACGGCCCTCTTCTTCGACAGGCCCTCCTTCCCTCCGCCACCACCGTTCTTCGCCCGCAACGCTTCGTTGTCGAGATGAAGGAAATCCTGGTCGGGCAAAGAGGACACTCTGACGAGGACCACGTCGTCCGTGCTCTCGTGAAACACAGGCGCGTGTTTCTTCCAGAGGATCTTCGAGAACGGGGACCTCTTCTCCTCCGTTGGCGTGACCGGGGCCGATCTAGGCCCGTTACCGTCCAACGACCTCCCCCCGCCGAGTTGTTGCCGCTGCACCTTGTCCTCCCCATCCATCTCGTAATCCGGATCCATCATCATCTGCTCCTCGTTCCGTCGAATTCTCGCCAACCTCGGCGTCCTTCTCCTCTTCTGCCCCGTCAAATTCACGGGGAGGCTCGTTTTCCTGTGAGCATCGCGTTGCCTCGGCGGCAATTTCGCGTTCGACTCGTCCCACGGCCCGAGCCGAGAGCAGGCCGCCCCCTTCTTCTCATCCTCCCCGGCCCCCCTCGAACTTATCCCTACGTGTTTCTTTGGTTGATCGTTTCCAAGGTACTTGGCGCGCCCACCGACTTCCTCCGTGGCTTCCTCCTCGCCGTGTCCACGGTCCAGTTTCGAGGGCAGACTAGAGGTGTTCAGACGGTCCTCCACGTACGTCCTTCCCGAGAGATCGAGAATTTCGCCGCCAGGCGGATACCTCGCGCGCTCGTCCACCACTCGTTCCAGATCCTCGGGCAGACTTCCGCTCTTTCTTCGATCGTTCCTCGCCGAGACGAGGCGATCGCGCGGCGGGGGCGGCTCGACGTAGCCCAGGCTCAACAGGAAGCCAGTCGTCGCCTCGTCGTTGAACAACTTTCCATTTCGCCGGCCGCGGATCTCGTCGTTGCGGGACGATCGATCGAGGCCGCCCGAGCTGCCGATCGAGCTCTCGCTGTCCGATATCCCGAACTCGTTCAACAGCTCCTTGTAACGTACGATCCTCGCCTCCTCCTTGCTCCTCTCCAGCTCCCTGGTCAGCTCGTCGATCTCGTTCGCGATTATCGTGTTGAACTCGGCCAGGATGCTGTTCGACCAATCGCCGATGTCATCCACGCCGTTGCAACCCCTGCACGAGTTCTGACGAATTCTCGTGCTTTTCGTGGGGCACGGCTCGAGCGTGTACCGAGCCGGCGGCGGGGGCGGCTGCGTGGGGTACTTTGGCTCGTCTGTAATGATCAGGGGGGTGGACGGCGCCGACTCGATGATCTCGCCGATCTCTTCCTGTTGGGCGGAAAAATCGGTTAACGATGACGAGAAAGAGTTTAGGGGAGGAATAAAGGAGGAGGGTGTTAAGGCGAATTTTTATATTTCATTTCATCTTTCTATCGATGTGAGAACCTGCTTGTTTAATTTAAAACGATTCTTCAGATTTGACTGAATCTATATCTCTTATGTTTAAATATATTTAAGCAGATTAAAAAAGAAACATTTTTATTTCAACAATTTTCGTATCGAAAAGTAAAATGAACTTTAAAATATCGTATTTTTTGATACGATCTCTGATAATTGATTGGAATAAAGGCGTAAGGAAATATGAGAATTATCCGTGAGGTGCAGAAGAAATAATAATCATTGCAATTATTTCCCGTGTTTCTTTTTAAACTTTCTATCGCGGAGAGAAAATTAAATCGCTGGGATCGATTGCGAAACGACGATATTTAAACGAAAGGGAAACGCGCGATACTACGAGTTGATGGGATCGACATTGGCATTACGATTCATTCCAAGCTCATCTCGCGCAACCGTAGCAATATTTAATACCATCTGGCGAATCGATGCGTCTCCCAAGTTAATAACATCGTAACAACCACCGTGTTAAAATATCAGTCAAAATGAAACATCGAACAAATATTTATAAACACGATATTCGTTGTGGACAGGAATCTTACTTTTCACTGGCGGATCGATCTTGACGCGAGAAATGGAACCACTCGTCGAAATCGTCATAAAATGGTCTGACAGAGACGACACATGGTCGTTGTTCCATCTCGAAACGAAAAATCAAACGATGGCCTTCCACACCACGACTGGCCGTGGAAAAAAGCGATGCCTCTAATTTATGGGCCGATCTTCACCCAGGTGGACAAGGGTCGATTAACCTCGATCACGTACAGGTTTAGAAAACCTGTTCGCTTCGTACGACACTTGTTCGACTTTTCTACTGTTCGAGTTGGTCCCGCGAGTATTTGACTCTCGACACCGATAATAGAAGCGATTTGGAATCGTTAAAAAGGTTGTGTAAGCGATAATAAACGAGGAGAGCTCGTCCGATTGATGATGATTTAGTGTCTGGCTGCTGGCTAAACGTTGTAACGAGATGTTTACGTATCGCGCCTCCAACGTGAAAACATGAAATTCAACCGGTGTTACCATGATTTTAAATACCACGTCCTGTAAACGATATTTATCACAGTTTTAAATTTTCCTCAAAAAGTTTCGATTTGGAATAATATTATTAAGAATCGTATCATCGAGAGTTGCTTAAAATTCTGACGCGAAAGTTATATTCCCCTGATAATTACAACGTTTCAATTACGAACTTTCTCCGCTGTTCTTCACACTTTGTCAAAACTCTTTAATTTCCTCCCAATGGGAACGAGGCTAAACTTCCATCCGTCAAAAACTTTCGAACCGCAAGAAGAGCAACGTTGCGAGAAAGGTATCGAGGAGAAAAAAATAAATCTTCCTTTGTCTTTAAATTCATTAATCATTAAACGCAATCAATTTCATTCCTTGCAACTCTGACTAAAAGTTTTCCTTTTCATCGGTGTAACATTTTCGCTCGCAATCAACCCGTCCAATTCGAATTCGCGTTTAATACGAATACGTAGGAATATCGATTGGACCGATTCATGGATCGACGTTCATGGAGGATCGCATCAAAGATCGCATCACCTTCGATGGCGTCTTCGGGCGCCATCTATCAAACGCTATGGCGCGCGTAATGAAAAGCTTGATTAAACTTAGTCGCGGCTAGGCGATCCCCTGGCTAAGATACCAGCACGTTGATACGCGCGTCTATCATTAATCAAACGGACGAGTATAATATTCGTGCACGCGTTCCTTTTAAAGAGATTCCTTCCTTTTTTTTTTTTAACCGGCCAACCCGAGGATCTATCAAACTCGAGATGAAACTGAAAAATTGCCCCGCGAATTCTTTTTCCATCCGCACAAAGGGACCCTCCATCCGCTTCTTTTTAATTGCACTTCCTCCAGCCGCACGAAATTGGACTTCGACTTATCCTTAACCGACTGCAAATTCAATTTATACGAGCTTACGATCGATAGATGATCGGACATGCTATCATTGGGACGATATCGATTGCAATGAATGTCGAGCGATCTCGAGGAATGATATCTCCTTACCTCGCTCGTGATGTCTTACAGTAAGTAAATTTCGCTCGTTTGATGTTCGAATTGGGATCCATTCGATCAACGGAACTTAATTTAACATCCTGATTAAAGTTACATCATTCCTTTGTCTCCAAATATCTTGTTCTAGTGACCGAAGATATACTTAATTGCAAATAATGTTCGATCGATCGAGATGAAATGATAAATATTATGTTTAAAAAATATATGTTATTGCCATCGAAGCCTCCTTTCGATTCGTCTCGATATTTCAATCGGTTATCGAGATACAACGATTCAAAGTTTCCAAAGGAAATTACGAATCTATATTTTTTCCTGGAAATGCACCACTAGCTAGTAATACTGAATTAAAAATTATCCTTTTCTTTGCACGAGGATATCTCGAGAACCGGAAGTCGTATCGAGATAAACAAAAAAACCACTTTAAAGAGGAAGGTTCAACGCTTCTAATGATCGTTCATTCGTTGGCCGAAGTTATAAACGCTCAAAATACCTTTCGATAATTTCTCCTGTTCAAAGACTATTTTCAATCATCAACAACTATAAAACAACGTCTTACGAAAAAAATCGTCAAGATCCAGCGACGGCAAATCGGCAACTTTCGCAATAAAATCCCGAATTTTAACGAATTTTCTTCTCTCGTTCAACCTCGAAGGATGATCAGAAGCGGGAATTAAACGGTTGCGATGCATCGAGGGTAGAATTAGCGGTGTGACGCGATCGTTTAAACGGTAGAAAGATAGATACGTCGGATACGTACAGATTAGTCACCGATAAGAATCCGATGGACAACGCCGTGATAGTTATATCCTCCGTTATATCCCACGTTAAGTCATTCGCTGGCTCGAGGCGCACAATGCAACACCCGTGTCAGGACAATGGGAAGCTCGTGCCCGATGATTAATCGCCAGGCTGGTTATAATAACGCGAAACCGCAGCCAGACAAGTAACTAGGGTTTTATTGCGATGGGATCGAATACCGAGACTTCATCGCGATGGATCGCGAGAGATGTTCATTGGCCGGTGGTTAATTAAATGCATTGTTAAATTTTGATAGGCCTTTTTACAAACTTTTATCACATTTACCAATAATTCATACAACATTAGTTGTAAATCAAATTGAGTTACGTTCTTCGATTGACTTGCGAAACACTATTTTCCGAACACCATTTCAATTATTTCTTGATTGTTGTACATATTGATTCGTAAATTCCCTTATTAATGAATCTCCCACTCTTCGTGTGTTATTCACTCCATTGCACGCATCGATTTTTGAAAAAAGAATTAACGAGGCATCGCATTAAAAAAGATCTGACAATTTGATCGAACGAAACGTATTTGTTGTAACTCGCGACCCAAATTATTATCACAATATCGTCGTTCCATCGAAAGCAATCACGTCGAAAATTCCACGGATGTTTCTTTAATCAGTTCGTTATCCGTGCAATCTCGGGCACGGAAGAAAACAGTCGTTTAAAAGCACGGGGAGCTTTCGCATAAATATCGGTTTGATAAATGCGGCGGGCGGCGCGTTATGGATGGAGAATATTAGAATGGAATCGCGATGCCGATTGTAGGCGTGCGTCTGGTTGAGATTAAATGCAATCCCAATCAGGACGATTCACGAACACTTCCGTGTCAGCCGAATGGAAACATTGCGCCCATTCAAACGACCGACTTTCCTTAATTGTCTCTCTCTCTCTCTCTCTCTCTCTCTCTCTCTCTACGT